ATAAATATGGATGTAATGCAATTACATCACTACCATTTCGATTTCAGTATTATGAACAATTAAACGGGGTATGAGTTTCAATAAGTGAACTTATTATTGCATTTAAAAGAGGGACATTACTAATATATGAAACAAAGATTACTGTCTTCTTGGCTGTAGCGTCCTGATAATGGAGGCAGCAAGAACCTATGAAACGAAGTTAAACTTATATCAGACTACACGGCGCTACAATCCAGGAGACTCCCATCTTCAGACACACCGCCTTAGAAACCACAAATCCTACATACAACAAAGTTTTAAGATCGAAATACCACTGCTATCGATAAATTACAATTCGTATATTAATTGCTACTGAGGGGTTAGTACACATTCTTATTCTATGGAAGACAATACTCTGACACAATAAAATCATTACACGGTAGATACTTAACGTTAAAATTGCGAATGATAAAGAATCATGTCCTTTTTAAAAACCAACAAATTTTTTATTATAATTATTGCTTTCGTTTATTTAGTAAAAACCCTTTTATTAATATCTCCTCTAATTTACCAGAGAGTTTCTTACGTCACTTCAGTTACGTTATCAGTAAAGCTACACGGACTTAACGAAACAAATGTCACCCCGTTAAGACCGTCGTTTTAACCTTGTAGTGGCAGAGTCTCGGTCGCACGTTATTTTGTACAGAACTCCGTTATGATGCCGTAGCGCGTTTCTTTGAGACACTGACGACAAAAATGAAAGAAAAATAAGTTTACTGCAAGAAAAGAGAACAAGAGATGGTGGAGAATAAGATAAAGACGAAAGATAAATAACGATGGGTAAAGCCTGAGATGAGGAATCGAAGTAGAAAAAGGAACTGAACGGAGAAAGTCCATGTTTCCATAACACCTCCGTAGGTCGATCTGTTTTCCATAAAAGCGTCACTCTACAAATCTTACTTATTTCTCGAGATTTGAATCTTAGAGGGATACTGAAAATTCAGGAATGCTATTTGCCTAATGAATCACGAGAACGTGAAGACCTCGGAAATAACATTTATTTCTCCATAATTTCGTGCATTCACATAAAAATGTTTTTCCAAGCATGGCTTCTTGGAAACCATTCTTTGCAGAGTAGTATCATTTATTTAACCTTCATTATCCTTTTGATGCATCTATTACATAGTCCAGCTTTACTTGTGTTGGACTAGCATAATAAAAAAATTAAAAGTAAAGCCATCCCACTATACGCCATGTAGGCGCTTGGGGGCAAGTGGAGGTATAGCTCATACTCAGTTTTAACTGCGGCACTAGGTGGTAGTGAGGGGTTAGCGTCACTCCCCGGTCACGCTTTATCCCTTGGTGGGTCCCAGAGCTGGTCTGGACGCAGAGGCTAGAGGAAAAATATACGCTGCCCCCATCGGGGATCGAACCCCGATTAGCCAGTCAGTATACCAAATTGTTAACTATGGAGTTATGGTCTGGCTGGCAGCATTATCGTACGGGGTTTAAATCAACTGTTCCCATTCATTAAAGGTTAAATGAGTGATAGTTTTCATAAATCCTTTATGTTACGATTGACTGTGAAATGTTGCTCAGATTTGTTTGCACATCGAAGATGGCCATAAATCAGGTGTTTTTCACATTTTTTTAGGATGTTTATCATAAATTACTTAAGTAATGTGGATATACCACTTTTTATTACTTTGTGCATAAAAATATAATGATTAGTTATTATATTCCAGTAGTTATAACTAGGACGAGGACCAGAACATAGTAACTGGCTTTCAGTGACAGAATATCTTTAAATAGTAATTAAGTAAATTGTGTTGGTCATTGTTATTGATAGGGTATGTTACTTTATCGCTAAGGGTTAATAGTGCAGTTTTACTATTGTAAATGTGCATGCCTTAACTGAAGAGGTTCATAGATACCAAATGGAAATTTTCGTAATAAATTTCAGTGCTGAAATTGCACAGGACATCACATGCCAGCTATAGGGTACAGTAGTTCATGTGAAATTAGTACTTATAATGAGGTTAACTTCACCTCATCCTAAAATATTGTCAAAATCAGCTGCACATTGCAACACTCAGACTTTTCCTGATACAGTGATACACAATTTGATAAAGCATATGTTATATGAAAGATGTTCTTACCGTGACAAGACGCCAATATTACAGAGGAGCGAGCTGACACTAGTATCTACTGTACAGTTCCCAAAGCCAGCCAAGTATAAATTGTATATTTTGAGTGAATTTATGGCAAGAGTTCAACATTCATCTGACTCGCTGGGGGGCAAAGAACTTTTTCAAAATGTGCATTGAGGAAAGAAGTCAGTTTAAATGATACTCTCAGATCTTTGGCAACAAAGGACGCTTCCAGTAGCAGGGTGGCAAATAACTGTATGGCCCAGTTCTCGCTTGCTTCGCAGATAAACACTGTAAAGAAATAAGCTGAAAATTGTTTTTTTCTGCAAAAGCTCTTTTTCTTCTCCTTCGTAATTGGAAATGTACTGGTAGCAGCAGAATATTCTTTAAATTAACAAGCATGAAGGGTGGTCAGCAAATGGCAAACTTGAGAGAAATTAATTTATACTTATTTGTGAGTGTCTTTAGAAGATAAAATTGTGCCCTCAGTCCTTGATAGCTTACATAGCTCATATTTAATATGCGAACATTTTGCATGGCTCTGCTACACGCGATATTGTATCTTCCCCCCCCCCCCCCAAAAAAAAAAGATCTTAAACTTAGTTTACTTCAAATAAGACCTGTTGAAAATTCCATTATGTATTTAACGAAGTAAAACATTTCTCGAATGAGGATTAAAACCGACAAAGACCGATTACGATTTCGAAGTGGAACTATCTTCATATCTCTTAACACCAGCCTCTAAAGTCACTGTTGTCCTATAAAATTACTGGACGGGTAAAATTAATATAAATACTCAATTTCTATTCTATATCCCGTATTTTATAATGACTAATGATGAATGTTCATTGAAATTCAACGGGGAATGATTTCATTAGTTTAATTATCCCCTATTCTCTTTCGTACTTACCCCGTTCTTACAATTATTCAAACTCAGATTTTCTCGCTTGCGTATTTCTTTCCCACCCTTTTCAACACAGAAAAACAATTTAAAGAATTAGCCGAATGTCACTTTTGTCGTATTGGTTCATCAGTTTCCTTTCCTCGGACTAAAAATCTCTTTTAACATTATTTTTGAAAATTAACAGTCAGCATTTGTAATCCTTAACAATACTTATTCAAAAATGTCAATTATTATAAAAAATATAATCATTCTTACAGTATATGCTCAAATATAGAACTGCAACAGAGTTATCATTTTTTCTAAATCTACTTTTGTAATACCCTGTGCCCGACTTTCTGTCAGAGAAACTTTCATCTTATGCTAGGGTTTCAAGTCCACAACAAGTGTGGCACTTGTACGTAAAAGAGAAGACTACCAAAAACAAAACAAAAATTTAAAGATTCTTCGCAGTAAATACAAACGAGTTTGAAGTAACCAATAATAAATTAAGGAATAATTTCGCAGGTTTAGTTACAAGTGGTCTGGGGCCGGGTATGGCTTACTAGCCGCCAGTTAGACCATGCTGGTATACGTCATTTAAAGTATATCTAAAGTTCTGCCATGATAACTTCGCTTGTAAAATAGTAGCTTACATTTTGTCACGTAGCCTATTACGAGAGCAGTCCTCTGTGAGTATAACCAAACCAACATGAAAATGTGTTTCATATCACAGGCCCAGAGATGTATTTTCTGATGCCAAAATGTCTGTATCTGTGATACCCAAATCAGATGACGGATATTCATGAATCTTGGTACAAACTTCATGCTACTAGAGGTCATACCAAATTTTACTTTCTGTTTTCCTATCATCAAATAAAAGCCTACAATGCCAACCTTTAACGCTGCTGCGACAGTAACGAGGTTTAATATAAAAGTTAAATTGTCAGTTTTGGTCTTACAGTTTGGCTGAAGTACCTGAAGATGGAGGCAGTATGTCCCTCAGTAAAGTCGATGCCCACACGGATTCACAACCCAGAACAGCACCACGGATAACTTCACCCCCGTGTGAGAACAGCACCACGGATAACTTCACCCCAGTGTGAACTTCATATCTCATAAATATTGTCCACGTGATCAAATTAAAATATGAGGATGGTACGACAGCCTGAGGTTATTACCGACAAATTTAAAGTTTCCCATAGTTTTTACTCGCGCAAACTACAGCCAGAACGTAACTGTTTAACTAACTGCCGTCCTATAAAATCGATACAGTTAAACAATGTTAGGCAAATTAAATGTAATGTAACATTTTCGACGAACGCTAATGAAGGCAATGCTTAATTAACCAAAGTCACAGACCTAGTGCTTGTTTAGGAGCTAAAGAATTGCTCACATAGTCAAGAAATTCTTGAAATTTTATGAAGCATATGTTCTACGCATGGAAAGATGAAAAATACGTACAGAATTCTGACTGAAAAACTTGAGGTGAGAGACTGCTTTGAAGACATAGGCGGAGATGACAGGATAATACTGAACTGAACCTGAAAATAATTGGGTGAAAGGGTGTGGACTGGACTTAACTGGCTCAAGATAAGGTCCCATAGCGGGCTTTTGTGATGAGGGTAATGAAACTTCGGCTTTCATACTGCGAAATAATTCTTGAATAGATGAGCTATTGTTAAATTCTCAGGACGTAGACTGTGTCACGGAGTTGGTCAGGTAGTTGGTTATAACAAATTACGAAGTTATAAATTATAAAATTTCCTTCATAATTCATTAACAAATTATAATTATCACGATGATATTACTCTTGTTATATGTTAATAATTTTCTGTTTTAATTCACTTCAGTACTTCCAAAATATACCACTATTGATCTTAAACATCACACAGCAAGAATTTGAGAAACACAGCTATAAAATTCATGTCACATACTGCATACCTTAATTTGTTTTTTATTTCTTCTAAATTGCTTTCCAAATTTCGCAGGGCTCTGGAAACGCGTCGAAGCAGATCACCAATCCGAAGCAGCTCTTCATTGCAGTTCTTCTCCTAATCACCACGGATTCTCTCAATTCAGCAAACTAAAACTATCATCAAGTCTGGACCAACAAGATGTTTGGAGTCGTCCGATTTAATATGATATTTCAAAGTCACTACAACAAGACTCTACATTTGGGGTCCTCTGTTTATGGTCTTAACAACACAGCATGAATGAAATAAATCTTTTGAGTTCGTCCGTAAAAGATTTCATTTTTCCAGTAACATTATACGCTACACAGTTGTTCTTAAAGGCCTAAAAATATCACCTCCTTTATAAATTCAGGTGGAAACTTGTAAAAATATTAAGTTCACTGACGAGACTAATGCGATGTATTTGATACGGAATTTTCACTGTAATATACGTTCATACATTCGTTTAGAAACATACATATTAAATATCTTTAAAATAATAATATAAAATTGTATATAATACGATAAACTCAAAGCACTATAACACTACAGAGTTAGTTTAATTTTAATTTTTGTATCTAAATAAATTATTTTGTCCTGTATTAATTAACTTAATTCAACTTTAACGGTTGAAACACATGAGGACGTCAAATATTCATGATTTCATTAATTTATAAGTAATTACTGTTCATCAAGCAGCGTCCTTCAAGACGTGTCGATTTTCAAAATCACTTTCGCTGTTTTATGTGCTAGTATAATTCTATTCTGGCGTAGAGAAAGAACCGACGCGCGAAAGACGTCTCAGATGTCTTGGATGCGAGTGGCGATTTGGACCGACGCTTCTCTCACAGACTAGCGACTGCTACTGGACGCCGCTGCACGGCGTCGTTTTGTTTAGTAGATGGAACGCGCACGGAAACTAAACTTGACGTGCGCAAACGCTGTTATCTTATTCGTCACTGAATCTGTTTCACACTGAAGATAGCAAAGTTTATGAACACTGAAAACGCTATCGAAATAATCTGAGAGTGTAATACTGTTTAGATTTTATGTATCCAGGACTCAGCTCCCTTCAAAATCAAAACTGTTTATATGGTGTCTAATAAAATTGCTGAATTTGCCTCTCTTCGAAATAATTTCAATACAAATTCAGAATAGGTATTTAACCCTCTAAATTATTGTGGTAATTATATGTACCACCTGCATTAACAATCAGTAACTCCACATACTATATTTATGGGTTTCAGGTAATTATCATTATAAACAGCGATTATTTACAGAAACAGCATTAACCAATTAACCTTCGTAATGTTGAAAGGAGGATGTTGATTTACGGACTGGATTCTCAAATATTATTTATACGAGTTACAGCATGAAAAGGTTAAATATCTATTGCACTGTGTTCGTCTGAAAATCAATTCCATGGCGTCTCTGTTTAGAATCTGACCCTCCCTCAGTTGGACATAAAACGTCTCGTTTGTTTTAAGTCCGAAGGTTCATTAATGTATTGTAAGAGAACCCGCCACTGGTACCTATATCGAGCCAATAGACACAAATCAAAACCCATCACCCGATTTCTCTAACGTTGTGCGACACCTCGTAATGCTATTTTTATAATGCGGGAGTTTTATGTCTGCGCCCAACCATGAAGTTGGTGTATTTCCCCTTTCCGGCAGTTCACAGCTTATTCAACACATTAATTCATCCGCACACAGTATATCTAATACTGTGTAATACGAGTAAATATCAGCACAAAGCAACGAATGTCGTCCCATTGCAGGTCTTTAAATCAAAATATGGCTTCGAAACAGCTTTCAAGCCAACGGCTAAGCCGATACTGCAGCTTGCATCTGTCACAAGAAGACAGTAATTCCATTCAGTGCTGCCACTGCTCTATCCAGGAATATACCTGTATAAGATCCACTCAACTGAAAACATACCCCGCCCCCTTCAGGCATCGGATGCTCGACAAAACGACGCCCACATTCCATTCAGACTTCACCATTTCACACGTTCCATAAATGGATTGAAGTGAATTCCTTTCCAAATAATCATGTTTTCAAACAGACAAAGAACTCCCAGACCTATTCAAGTCCCCACGTTTAAATACCCTAATAAATACTGAAGACAGCTGTTATTTTTAGTTCAGAAAATGTTATTCTTTCGTCTACAATCTAAAACGCAATTGTAAATCCCAAAAATACATAAGAAATTACCTCCAGTTAGGGCCGAGGAATTCCTGGAAACATACCTCCACTCCGAACATAAACTGAACACGTCGTGGTGTTTAATTATGACACGTGAAACTTTTTCTCTTGCATAGAGCAATCTATCTCCGAGGATTTGTAAATGTGGTATACTACTCTAAAATATAAATGCTAGTTAATAGTAAAACATTTTTACAAAAGATTCTTAAAATATATTTAGATATTCATTATTGATTGGTGAATTTTCTCATTATAGAAGTGAATAGGCACAATTATATAATTTTCAGTAGCGTACATCGTAATTTAAATGTTATTCATTCTAAAACTATTAGTCGTATTAGAAAACAAAATATTGCCACGTTTTCACCGAGCGATTTTTCTGGGCTTACGTATCGTGCCGTGTCCCACCTGTGACCCTTATACTACACTGGCAAAAGGAATCCTCAGTGCATGAACATTGTGACTCGCCGATGTCTATCGCGTCGACCGACTGCCGACTCTCACGGAAGTCAGCGTGTTATGAAATTACTATGCTTAAGTACGATTTGAGTTTTCCACGGCGGCAAGTCTGAAGATTGCTGTCTTCTGCGTTGTTGCGCCAAGTAGTCTGATAGACGTCAACCGACGTTTTTAGAGTTCCGTGCTGCCTCTATCATCAGGGCCACCGCAACAACCTAGAAGACATCAATCCTTTTACTACGTCTGAACCTGTAACTATTTAAAAATATTCACCACGTTAAGTATTGGGGACCTCCACGTTTGAGTTATTTCCAACTTGTTTCGTAGATCACATTGGTGATTTATGTATATCACCTTCAACAATCTGTAAGTCTGCGCTTTTTTCTACAGAATGTATTTACGGACTTCAATCATTTCCATAAACAGCGTTAACCTGTTAATCTTTATAATGGTGAAGCGTTGTTTTCTTTGAGGTACGGATCGAATTTTTAATTTATTTAGATGAGCTCCGGCTTCAAAGGGTTAACGTTGTTTTGTTGTA